ATATATATAACAACTTTTAATTTCAAAACTATCAGAAAAATTATCTTTTATCATATCTAAATACTTGCATCCCCACTAACTGCAAAGGGTAAATAGGAAAAATTAACAATTAACAATTAACTTATCTAACAACAAATTTAAATTTTAATCTTTGCACCTCATTATTCCTTTTTTGTTTTTTTGTTTTTTTTTGTTTTTTTTTTGGTAGCCAACTAAAAAATTCAAACATGATAATATTAGACATATGCTCCCGTCACTAGTTTTAAAAATGTATGTTTATAGAATTTTGTTTTGTTTGTTTTCTTTTTTGGAAAACGTTAAAAAACTTTAGACTATGTTGGAATCTTTCATTTAGTTAGAAACATGAAAAATCAAAGAAAAAAGTGATATGAAAGAAATGCTTGCTAATTTTTTTTTTCCCATTTTCTTGCATTTTTTTTTTTCCTTTTCAAAACTCTATCTAAATTTATGATTCAAACTTAGAGGAAGCAAAAGTAAGCCTCTAGGTAATCTACCACAAATACATTTTTGAAAATTATTTTTCTCATTTTTTCACATTTGCTATAACAAAAAATATCTTTCATAAAATCTGAGTTGATTTGGCAAAAAATATTTTCTACTTTTCAAACATTGAAAATGTTTTCTAGACTATAATATTTAAAAAGCCACCACCATTGTCACGCCACTATCACCTTCCCACCATCACCATTATCCTACCACAACCACCACCTCCACCTCCTTATTTCTTAACTTTTGTCACCGCTGTCACCTCTACCACCTTTATCACCACCACCAATACTGCCGCCACCATTAGCACATCATTTTGAGATTGCGATACAAAAAAATATATTTTTTCTTCATAAGAAACAAAGGGTCAAATACCTTAAATAAACTCAAGCATGAACTAGATCTGGTACAATTACCAAGTGTTCTCAGAGCAATGTTGCACACTAATTATCAATTGACACTTCTCATATTGTTATCCAGATACCAACATAAAAGTGATAAGTCTCATTATCCAAACAAATAACTACATACATATAGAGCATCGCATGAACTTACATTACGAACCCTAATTTCTCCTAAATCTGATTCCAAACCCTTACAATCATTTTCATTGGTGTATGACTATATTTGTCAAATTTAACAAGGCCTCTTCAAAAACATCTCCAACAATCTCTAGTCAAATTATAATCAAATTCGATGCAAGACTTTCCAATTGGCAAAATTTAACAAATTTCTTTCTTTCTGTTTGTCTATACTAAAAACATTTTTTCAATGGTGGATTAAAGTACTTGTCAAAGTGAAAAGTTTACAAGACATCTCGAAAATCCATCTCAAATGATCTTTACAAGACATCTCAAAAATTCATCTCCAATGATCTGTCATTTCTTGTAAAATTTGATACAAAACTTTATAGGGCAAATTATATTAAACCCCTCAGATTATCGACCATTTATACTTTACCCCCTACTATTTTAAACCAAACAATTATCCCCTCAAACTATTTGAATTTAAACATTAAGTCCTTCTATTAGTCATCTGTTAGATATTTGCATGAAAAATTGTCAATTGTTGTGCACATGATGATTATATTAATTTTTATGATCAAATTATCCTATTTTATCTCTTGTAAAAATTTAATATAGTCATCATGTACACAGTACTTGATAATTTGTTTATCCAAATATCTAACAGATGACTAACCAAAAGAATTAATGTTCAAATTCAAATAGTTTAAGGAGGGTAATTGTGAGTTTAAAACATTAGGGGGGGTAAATTATAAATGGTTGATAATTTGAGAGAGTTTAATATAATTTGCCCAATTTTAAAATTGGTAAAATTTGACAAAACTCTCTGTTTCTCTTATTATGAGACTTAAGAAAATATTTTTATTTAACATTTGTAAGAAATAAGGGAAATCAATTGCAGCATTAGAGTAGGAATATTGACGCATTATAGCATTTTGACTCCCTATGATTTCAATAAAACACTCATAAATTTTATTTTTGGGGTAAATTACACTTTGCGTTCCTATACTTTGCATCAAATCTCGCTTTAGTCTTCACATATGAAATCATGACAGCCAACATTATGCACTATTGGTCAAGTGTCAATTTTCCCCTTCTATTACTCCATTGTTTAAAAAAATCCAGTCATGTAACAAGTGTGTGACTACAAAATGATGGCAAGAGAGGAAATTCATCATCATTTCCTACCAATATACAATTTGTCCCGCGTGATAAACATATGAGAGTTATATATATATATGTGTGTGTGTGTGTGTGCGCGCGCGCGCGCGAAATCGAAGAGAAATGGAAAGGAATAGACAAAAGACTGTATTATTGTGAAAAGTATAATTTTAAGATTTCAATTTTTGGAAAACCCTAATTCATCTTCTTAATCGTTCACAATCTTTTTTTTGTTTTAACTGAATACAATCAAAATTTGATGTAACTTTTGGAATAAAATGTATATAAACGAAAATTTTGGGTGATTTTCCTCTTTTGCCCTCATTTTGTAGTCATATGCTTGTCACATTACTGACTTTTGTTAAAGATTTATGCGGTGCAGTAACAAAAGGGGGGACATTAACACTTGACCAGAAGTGTAGGAGATTGACTATCACGATTTCATGTGTCGAGATCAAAGTGAAATTTGACCAGAAGTACAACGGATTGACTGTTACGATTTCATGTGTAGGGATCAAAGTGAAATTTGTTGCAAAGTGCAGGGGTGCAAAGTATAATTTACCCTTATTTTTGCTTGAAGACAGTTTTTAAATATTAAAAACAAGGGTAAATTACACTTTGCATCCCTACACTTGTACCAAATCTCACTTCGACCCTTACATATGAAACCATGACAGTCAACTCCTTGCACTTCTAGTCAAATCCTACTTTGATCCCTACACATGAAATTGTGACAATCAACCCCCTGTACTTTTGATAAAATCTCACTTTAATCCTTATACAAGTATCAATGTCCCCTTTCTGTTACTCAATTATTTAAATTTTTAATAGAATCTAATTATGTGATAAGAATGTCACTATGACATTAGGATAAGAAAGGAAAATCATCTACATTTTCCACTAATACACACTTTATCCTAAAATTTACATCAAAATATGACTGTATTAGGCTAAAACTAAACGCAGATTGTGAATAATTAAGAAGATAAATTAGGATTTTGCATAAATTGAAATCACAAAACTATGTTTTTCACAGTAATACAGTCTTCTGTCTATTTGTCTTTTTTTTTATTTGATTTCTTTGTCGCATTTTTTTATTTATTTCAAAAACTTTACTTTCTTGCCTTTTTGTTCCAATTTTTATCATACAAACATACACACTTTATCCTAAAATTTACATCAAAATATGACTGTATTAGGCTAAAACTAAACGCAGATTATGAATAATTAAGAAGATAAATTAGGATTTTGCATAAATTGAAATCACAAAACTATGTTTTTCACAGTAATACAGTCTTCTGTCTATTTGTCTTTCTTTTTATTTGATTTCTTTGTCGCATTTTTTTTATTTATTTCAAAAACTTTACTTTCTTGCCTTTTTGTTCCAATTTTTATCAATACAATATATATATTGTATTATATATGTCACGACCCAAACCCAGTACCCGGAGGTTCAGTATCGCAACAAGACAATAACTAAAGTCATAAAAAATTAATATTGCAGCGGAGTAAAATAAAAGACTACCCAAATCTTAATTATGACAATATACATTGGAGAACAGATGTATAGACTCAAAAGGTGGCTCGTACAAATTCTAGAAGTGGCTCGCACTATAGTATAGCACTTAGTTCCGCGCAGCACTTTACTCCATACCAGAGAACATAACAGAATAGATGTATGGACTCAAGAGGTGGCTTGTACGAATTCTAGAGGTGGAGCCCACAATAGTGTAGCACTTAGCTCCGCACAACACTTTACTCCATACCAGAGAACAGATGGTCAGTGGATCTATGACAAACAAAGGGTCACATAAAGTGACAACAGAACAGAACATAACATAACAGAGGGTCACATAAAGTGACAATTCAGAGGACCAATGGTTATTTAAGTCCCCCAAGGCATTGGACCTCTGTGATGGTACTTACAAAATAATTGTGCAAAACACATTTAATAAACAATTATATCCATGAGTTTCCCCTTTTAAGAAAATAGGGTTCATTTAATAAATAATATACTTGTAAAAACTAATATAATTTCCAAAACATAATTTACATAAAAAAAAGTTTATGGCAGCTCATAATATAATATAACTTACCTCAAACTTGATCATTTACTCTCACTTCTGACTTCAGTTTACTATCTCAAATTCCCCTCGTTTGTTAATCTTGTGATTTCATGCAACTCACCTATTTATAGGTGAGAAAATACTTATTATGCAGCACTATGCAACACACCATGTTGTTTACCACATGGCTCACCACGCCAAACATGAGATTTCTGGAAAACTACGCACAAGTTCTCTATATTCTACTATGACCCAGAAAATATTATAATTATATTTCTTTTTTCTTTTTTTTCAAAGTGTAAGTACATATATTTTAGGGTGTCACAATATAACTCTCGTATGCTTATCACGTAGGACAAAGTGTATGAGTATGAAACATGGATGATTTTTCTCTCTTACCCTCATTTCGTAGTCACATTTTTTGTTACTTGGATTTTGTTAAAGATTTAAAACTAAAGTAATAGAAAAGGAACATTGACACTTGTGTAGGGACCAAAGTAGGATTTGAGTAAAACTGCATGGGGTTGACTGTCACAATTTTATGTGTAGGGATCAAAATGAGATTTGACTAGAAGTGCAGGAGGTTGATTATCATGATTTCGTGTGTAGGAATCAAAATGAGATTTGGTGCAAAGTGTAATTTACCCTAAAAACAACCTAGAAGTGTTTCTCTAAAAATTGAGTGTTCTCAACCAAAAAAATTAAATAAAATAAATAAAAAATATGAGAACATAAAAAAAAATGAAATCCATATCAAACTAGTTTATTTTCTTGCGACTTCTCTCTAATTATGGAAGAAATATCCACAGCCTCTGCTTTCAGCAAAAGTTGCAGACAATTAAATTCCCAATGACAGTACAGAGATTAGTAACCCTGAGGTATCACTCACTGTCATCTTCCTCTGCATCAACAAATTCTCCGACTAGCATGACGTCAACCACAAAAATAATAATAATAATAATAACAATACACAACGTTTATTGTACAGTAAAACAGTAGATAATACTCATCTTTATGTTCCAAATCTCAGTCCAAACCCCATCCCTGCAGCCAGTAATAAAGAGGATATTAGCATCTTTCACTAAGTTCCAATATGCAATGCCATACAGAATTCACAAAAATAGAAGTGAGTATTGAAGATTCAAATTTAACGTGATGTGAGTCACATTTAAAGTGAAGCTGATCCACACACCAGCCATTTTTCGGACTACTTATTATGGCTCTGTAGCTTTTTTGTCCATATAAAGAATGATGTGGCTACTGAGTAAAACTTCAATGCAACAATGATATCACGTCATCGTTCATATGTGGTACTGCTATCCAATCATAAAACACCACATAAGAATGTGTACCCTACTATCTAAATGTAACCATCCTATCCAACTCATTCCACTAATTGGCACAGATGCATAGTGGTGTAGAATACACTTATATGGCAGGCTATGATTGGTTTGTCATACCGTTTCACTCAATTTTTTCTGCTCATTTAGCTCATATTACTAAGAAAATAGAGTAAGTATCAACTTTCTTTCTTCAATTTCAAAACTACCGTTGACAAAACATTGAAGATAAGAATGTTGGGTAGTGTCGATCCTGATAAAAACTAACCCACTCACAGCATAATTTTGGAGTAAGGATATTTATGATATTACCACACTTGTGACCCATTGTCCTAATTTTCTATCTCTGTAATCTCTGGTAACCTTTCTGGTCATAGTGAAAACCGTAGCAACCATGTGTGATTTGTTTTTCTTTATGTGTGCATGTGAGTATCACCTATCTTAATTAGGTATCGCGGATTCCTAATAGATAATTCTGTAATGAAAGTTGCAACTCTTCAAATATTCCTGTGAAATACAGCTTAGGTTCTAACCTGGATTCTACCCTCGGAGGAACCGGCAAAAAGCATCTCTCCATCTGCATCTGAAGTCAATGATGTGATTCTCATATGTCCCCCTCCACTTCTGATGGAAGCAAATCTGGTGACTCTTTCCTTCAACCATACCTCAATAATCCCACATTTTGTGGCTGTAAATATTAAGTCATTGTTTACAGCCATGCAGTGAATGTCTAATCCCGTTGAGAATGTCCCTATCACTGCCTTGGTTGAGAGAGAGAAAACCTTTCATATGCAAACAAAAATCACTCATCAATCAAAGTTTTATATTTTATTATTATTACTATTATTATTTTTGTTTGGGGGGGCGAGGGGAGGGGCTGACAAATGATAGGGATGATGATGGTTCAATACCTTCCCTGCAATGCCATCAACTGAAGTACCACCCGCAAAGAGAAGACCATTGTGAATACATAAAGAATGTATAGTTTGTTTCCCTAAGATTTTTCTCACACCAGAATAGAATGTTGCAGCTGTGTATTTGTGCAAATCCACCTCCTGCCATTTTTTCTCTAAATTTTCAGGACAAATAAGAATATTCTTAAGCTTTCTTTAGTAAGTACTAGAGAGTATCAATTGCAAAATTATTGGAAGTTCATAAGTACATGCAGAGGGGTAACCTAGGGCAACCTTTATGCTACGTTTGGGTCTTGGATTTGTAGATAGAAAATAAAAAGGAAATGGAAAAAGATGGGAAAGGAAAATGAAGTAAAAGAAGATTTTTTTTTCTTTTTTTTTTTTGTTGGGCTTGGAAAATGAGAAGAAAATGCATACATATTAATAAAATATAATTTATTTTTTTTATAAATTACCCATAAAAATAAATATTTATGAGTAATGTATTTCCCTCGACAAATCTAAGATCCAAACATAACCTTAATTGCAAGGCCAAATAGACTGAATCCAATCGATGTTAGAGAATGTTTACCAGGATACTGTAACCAGTGCAACCACAGTACAGCTTACTTCCAAACATTGCAAGGGACTTGACGGTTTTGTTGAAGTTAATATGCTTTATAACCCCAGACCAATTATAAATCTGCACAACACATTGTTCAACAAATCATTATCTTCTATGAATCACACATGTTAATTTGTTGGAACAATCTAAGAAAGCTTGCCTTAACTCCTGTTCCTTGGGAGGAAAAGCATGCAACGTTGGCATTTGCTGTCAACTCGTGAACTGCTTCTTTCACATCATGAACTTGAAGGCAGTGAATTTCTTCTTGCTTGATTGCCCAAACCTTCAGATGAAAAAATAATTTGAAAACTTGTCTCAAAATGACATAAACAGATTTCTAAAACGACTTGACGATTGCAGGACCTTAATTTTGGTAGTAAGCAACATGGCCAAGCGTAAATAAGACTTGAACATGGCCCTCATAAATTTTTTTACTCCTAAATTTCAGGATATGAAGACTGATTTTAAATGGAGAGTGGCAACCTTAATGTTGTTGGATCTTGGATCTGTGGAGAAAAAGGAAAAAGGAAGGGAAAAGTGAAAAAAAAAAACCCTCCTTCCCTTTCCCTTTCTCTCAACAAATCCTTCAACAAATCCAAGATCCAAACAAAACCTAAGGGTTTCACCACACTATTTTTTATGTGTTATATTCAATAAATTTTCATGGAGAACCAAACATTAGTGTTTATAACTACTTTTAATCTGATGTGTAGGCTATCATCATCAATTTTGAGTCACTAATCCCGTTCCCAAATCTATTCGTAATTATTTGCAAGTCAATCTTGTAACACCAATTCTACAAACTTAAGCGAACACAGCAAAAAGCTGCAAATGAAGGCTTTTTGTTATGTTCTATGTATCTCTTTCCTAACATAAGAATCTGCATTGGAAATATGAGATGATTTACCCTAATTGTTTTGTCTAAGGAACCACTGTAAAGTTTGTCACATGAAGATGGAACGTAGAGGCATGTGACAGCTTTGGTGTGTTCACGAACTTCCTGAATCAACCGCGGAACCCTCTTACCAGCATCCCACACCTAAATGCAAGAAAAAGGGTAACCAAGTTGGACAAGGTAATTAGTAACTTAACTGAATGAAGGAACTGCAGATACAAATATAAGAGAAAGTGCATTTCTGTTTGTGTGTGTGTGTGTGCACGCGCACGTGAGAGAGGGAGACAGGGAGTGTGTGATCATGCATGTATCTCTTTTGATAGGTCCACACCTTAATAGTTCCATCAGAATGGCTGCTGATTAGACGACCCTTTAGATGAAGCAGAGACAGAACCTCACCATTTGCGCATGAATCTAACTCAGCAGCTTCAGCACAACACCACAGCTCTGTCTGAAATACGCAACATTATGAGCACATAATCATTTGTCTTCTTTCATTAGTCAAAACTAATGGGCATACAAGATCACCAACTCACCACATTGACAGAAGGCAAGTTCATCAACGCTTTCAGTATATCATTTACCATCTTGGAATTTTTTTTAAGCTTTCTCAATGTTTTGTACACGCATTTGGCATACACCCCCAATTCAATTAGTGCACCTTAGGGAAATGACAGTTTGGGTTATTAATTATATATATACACAAATGCACGGTAACACATAAGTTCTAAAATTTATTTTCACTAGCTCTCTAAGATAGTTTACCTGGATCAGTAATGAAGGCTTTCAAAGCAAGAGTTGACAATATCTTCTCCTCAAGGTTTTTTGATGATTGCAACACATTTATAAACTGGTCAAGCAAAAACTTCCGAGCAACATCTCTTATACCAGTATCAGGAAGACTGTAAAGCATGTGTGTAAGCCACGTGGCGACGACAAGGCATGATTTTGCCATCTCTATGGAATTACTTTTGAGACATTCTTCCAAAGATTTAAAAATTGAGCCCTTTTCATGGTTACAAAGCACAAAAGCTACCCTTTTCTCCCAAGAACTTGTAGCTTTCTCTTCTTCTTCCTATACAAAAGCATAAACGATAAAGGACTTGTGCAACATAAAACTAACTGAAATGTGACAAAATAATCTGAAAAATACATAAACTCGAACCATTGTCTCTGTCAGTTCATTTTTATGTGTTTTAGAAATCTCTGTCTTCATTAAAGCATTATATTGTTGATCAAACCCTGCAATTTTGAGTAACCAGGCTTCAGTGCAGGGCTTCCCTGAGGGAGTCAGACGTCCGGAAAGAGATAGTAAGGCATCAAGAGCCATGATTTGAGAATTAGGAAAGTCAGTTTTGCGAAGTGCTTCAATTAGTGCCTCTATAGCTTCTTCTCTGTAAATGCTCATCTTTCGAGGCTCAACCTAGAAAACCAAAATTGTAGAAACTTGTGACTGGAAGGTACAATGATGTATATTGAGTAAATTCTCTCTAATTATACTGATTTTGAAAATCAATAGGCAAACCAGGAGATCAAGCTGAAGAAGAAGAGTGGCAACAGTAGGTTGTTGTTCCATTGGAGCCATCTGTAGATAGACAAGCAAGGTGTGCATGGTACTAAATGCCCCTTCATCCTTAATTATTTGCAAAACCCGGTTGCAGAATGTTCTCCTGAGCAACATAAAGTAAATTCATCAATCTTCTTGTAAGGAGTAAAGAGAAAACTTGGGAAAACTTGAAGTAAATGTATAAGCATGTAAATACAGAACATGTATGCTTGTATTTGTGTGCAAAAAATGACACATAAAAAACAACTCCTGCATGGTAAGATAGTTGTCAGAATTCCAGGGGAAAAAAATATGTGCTGCTGGAACAAGTAGAGAACCCAATTGATAGACACAAGGCTAAAAAAATGTTTTAAGTCTCTTGATAGTAATAGTTAGTCTCTTTGGAGACCAGTCAAATTGTGTTTTGTTCACAAACTAGTGAACAAATTTAAATTTGTGAAACTATTACATTAAGCAATACATATATAGGCACACGTACTATTTAATTAGGAAACCAAGAAGTAGGAAACAACTAATATAGAAATAAAATCCTATTCAAAGCTAATAAAATAAGAAAATTCAATAAATATAAAACGATGCCAAAAATAAATCACTAAATCTTTATCCAGTGCCTTTTCAACCTCATCATTATGTGGGATGATGAAACAGATAGAAATGGTGGCATTGTGATGACAACTGCAATAAAGAAAATAGTAGCAATAATAAAGCCACGTTAATGGTGGGAATGTTTGGCACCAGTGGCATAGGTGGTAGCTAACACAGAGGAGCTAGTGATGATAGTGACAGTGCATTGACAATGGTTAAGGTAGTGATGTGAGTTGTAGTGTTTATAAAAGCGATAACTTTGAGATGCCTAACAGATAATTTCAGATTAAGGATCTTATTAAGTAAAAGTGAAAATGGGATTCACAAAATTTATTCAAGAAAAAAATATATATACCTGTTCAACTGAACTAATTCGGAGAGAAAATCTATACATATGCCTCTCACGCTATCATTTCCGGCATAAAATAATTCAAGAATAGGAGACAATTCAATTCTGCTTGCGATCAAGTTCTTGCAACCCTTGTCAGCATGAATACAGCATAATAGTATGGATACAATGGACTGTCTTCCTTCTACCTGATCCAGGCACTTAATCAATACTGGAATCCCATTTGCAGATATAACCCTAATAGCATTAAGGGATCGGCTGTTCTCATCTCCTCCCATCAACAATTGCTCAAGCATTGCTATTGCAGCACCCTTGGGCTCCATTACTAGATGAAGATCATCTAGCTCATCGTGCGTTGTTATAATAAGTTGGACAAGAGATGGTATGAGATCATGAGCTGAAAGCTGAGAGAACGTTGGCCTCAACAGGTATATAAGGACAGCAGCCTCAGCTAAACCATTTCTTAGCAAAGCAGCTAAGCAATCAAAATCAGAATCAACACTCGTTAGAATTTCACTAACACTATCATCTGAAAATATCAGTTCAGAGAGAATGTAAACTGATGATCTAAGAACTTCCCTGTCCAGAGAAGCTGACAGTATCTCCACAAACCCATTTATTATTGTCGGCTTAGATAAATAAGAATGAAGCCCTGGATCAGCATTCGAGTCCTTCCATGTCCTGGCAATCGTGGACACAGCTGCTTCACATTCTTTCAAGTCATCTGAATTACAAAGACTCGTAATGTAAGGTTTTAACCCATTGATTATTGTTTCAAAAGCAGCTTGAGATATCACACTGGTTGGTGACGTTGACACCGCAGCTCGCATAAATCTCCTGGTCCTATTAATATGTTCATTTCTGTTCCTATGATTGGAAAGATTGACTATCCTACATGGAGATGACTCTGAATGGAAGTCTTTCGAAGAGGGAGTGCCGAAGGAACTTCTTGGTGTTTCAGTAAAGGAAAATTCCAGAGCAAGATCAGGATGCTGTTCTTTCCAGGAGGTGATTAACCTTTTCAAAACGTAGTTTGTTTTCGGCAGTGTATTTGTACAGAGAGGCTGGCGGGTAATGGGGCATGTCGTGTTTCCTCTTTTCATCCATTCTTGAATTGCTTTCCTTTCGTATGTCTGACCTGTTTCAAGGGTAACTGGGTCAGAAAAAAACTGGCCAGTGATGGGGCAGACAAAATCTTTTGGTTGTCTTGATTGAGAAGTCAAATTCTCAGACAATGGGAGAGAAACACAACTGTGGCTTCGTTCGTCACTTGCATTGAGAGAACTGCAATATTGAAAGAAACTTGATCTTAAAATAGCAATGGTTACCCTATGAAAACTTTGTTGGTTGATGCTACAAGTCCATGAAATTCAGACAAAATCACGATTACCTGTTTTCTAGTACTTGGCTAGTCACATGTCCATAACTTCTACTCGGTGTATGACGAACGCTTTTCCTACTGCTTTGCTGCACTTCCTGAAATTTTTAGTTGAAAACATCAACATTTCAAGTTTAGTTATCATAAATTTACCGTTAAGACAAATTGAGGGTTTGATATATACCGCTACTTCACCATCTGAGTCTGCTGAGCTTACGCTGGAATCAGTACACAAACGTGGTGACGCAGGCAAAGAGGATGAAGTAGCAGAGTCCATTGCACGGTTGGACAAAAGGCGCAATACAGATGTGCGTTCCTTTTTACAATGCATGTCTAGTTTCGGGGATGAAATCTTTGGGGAAGGAGTTCTAGGGGAATCCATAGGAGACATAATAGCAGGAGAATGCATTCGACTATTCACTTTTTTTACCTGCATGTTTAGCACAGTTTCTTCATTCACTTTTTTTGGTTTCAAGTTTGGGTCAGTTTTGTCATCCTTGCTAAAATTGAAGCTGCTAAGAGATACCACTTTATGAGCTCTATTTTCATAAGACTCATGCGCATCAGGCTCAATGTCAGGATCATCTTCTTCTTCTTTTTCTTCTTCTTCTTCAGGCCTCCTGATGATTAGAATGAGAATGGAACTCTAACTGAGCATATAAAGGGCATAAGGCAAAACCCAAGAAGAGAGCAAAGGAAATCTACCAATTTTATACTGAATCTTACTTGTGGATCCCATATAGCAGACTTTTCCAGGATCTCAGAATTGTTGAACGTTATGTTCAATCTGATTGGATACAAATGTTCACAAGAAAACACATTTCAGAGAATTCAATAAAAAGAAGTCAAAATAAAAAAATAAAAGAAAGAAGAAGAACCAAGATAACAAACTACTGTACTCAATGATGGATCTAGGGTGGGCATGAGGGGTGGTCACAACCCCAAAAATTTTAAATACTTTATATACTATACTAGCAATTAGTAAGATAATTTCAAATTAGCATACTGCGCACCCCAAAATTGTAGTAGTTTGCACCATTAAAATTATAAAAGTTTGCACCTCCAAATTATTTATAACAAAATTTTAGATATAGTTTCCAATTTGCATTTTATCAAATATTGATCCCTTCTATTTGTTACATGTGTTATTTGTTATATTTTTGTATTGTTTAGAGTTGCTTACATTCTTCTATTTGTTCTTATTTGTTACTGATTCGTATCTTCTGCTTGTATGTCATGTATGTTTTTTCTTCTCTTATAAATCACACTTTAATTTGCTTATACATCTTATTTTGCATTCATTCTTGTTTGTTCATTACCTAAAAATGGGAATATTTTTTGTAAATGAAAATATTGTCTACGTTCAACATGGCATTCTTAAAAATGAGTTCATAAAATTTAATACTGCTTATTGAAACAAATTATTATTTTATTTACAAAAACATACACTTTTAACTATGAAATGTTTTTAAACTAAATTGTGTAATAGGATGGAAGATGATTTTGTAACAAGTTAACATTTATTGAAAAAGATATCACTTGAGATTTTGATATCAAACGTAGCATAAATGTTTTTATATATATTATAAAAAGTGGGATTACAACTTCTTTAGATAGTAAACTTTAGTATACGGAGGCACATAATAATAATTACTTTTGTTAAGTTAATGCAGACAAAAACAATGTTCGATTATATTTTTGTACTCAATTATGTTGATAAAGAATATCCAGTTAATAGTAATATTATTCACTTTTTTGTGTTGAAAGAAATTTAAATTTAAATTTTTACCATAATTTTTTTCGATTAAAAGTTCGAATCGTGGATCCGTCTGTACTCATTAGTTCCATGATGACAATTAAACATTCCAAGAAATTAGGAGATGAAAACATTCAAAGAAATTAGGAGATGAAGCAGACCTTGAAGCTTCTCTTGCATTTTCTCTAGATTTGAGCATTGGTGAAAACCCAGCACTCTTGGGCAAGATGGGACCAAATTTCACATAATCAGGAATTGACCGGCTCACCTCGTGCAAAGGAGTCATAGGTGCCTCTACAATTGGAAACATTGGAATTGCCTTCTTGCTAGTGGTAGAATCAAAGTTCATGCAGTCCTTAAAGTATTTTGCATAAAGCCTTGTATTCTCATCCAACGATTGGGCGTAAAGCTGCTCCAGTTTCTGCATCTTCTCTGCCTGATCCGGCCTCATAGAAAAGATCAAAGATTCATTGAAGTATTGATCAAAATCCACAGTGAATGACAAATCAGTGGAATCTGGAATTACATCCATCACTAGCCTGTGTCTCTCCTCTGAATACCACCCAACAATTGAACTCATGTGTGGAAGAAATAGAGTTTTCCATAGCTCGGGAGCAAAATCAATCCGAGAGAAGAAAGGATCAACAGCGAACATCTCGAGGATGTGAAGGACTGCGTTGTGAACATTGTTTCGCAATTTCCACAGATACGAAAGGTTGAGATGGGCCCAAGTGGAAAGATAGAAATTGGGGACCCCAGCAGTTTTGTGGCTAGCATTCAACATTGCACATACTTGCAACATCTTCTCTGCATAGTCCAATCGAGCAAGCTTAGTTTCCATATTGGATGTGTTGATGGCTTCCTCGAGGGCGTCAATCCCCCAATCCAAATTTGCTAGTACTGCTTGATCAGAGTACCGGACTTCTGTGTCATTGTCAGAGCTTCCATCTTCGGCTGCTAATCTCTCTGCACATTGTTCTTTTTGTTGGGTTCTCTTTTCTTTATCAATCAACTGATCTTGGATGAAACTTCCAATGGAGGTCATCAAGAATCTAACAATATCTTTTTGGTCCATTGCAAACTTATAGTTTCCAGCCCTATTCATTAAATGCTTACCTTTGAGATAGCCATTTAACTTCACTTTCTGGCATTCTCATTTGTCTGTCATTAGTTCCTGGTTCCAATTATAGAAAATTAACCATTCAGCTTTGACTTACCATTCAGGGAAAATAAATAAAATGGAGTATCAACATCATCATTCTGAATTAAAAGAAAATAAGTATTGCGATTTATTGCACATCCCACGAACGCAAATAGAAGCACACACTAAAGAGAAAACATACACAAAAAGATTCATGGGGTTCTGGACAAACCCTCCTACGTCCACGAATGAGAGAAAAACTCATTATGAACTATAGAGAATACAATGGTACGAAGAAAAAAAAAAATTTAAAAATTCAATTCCAATACCCAAACTCCAAAACAATACCCGTTTCCTTGCTCAAGGTTAATTGAGCCCTGAAGTAAATCAATCCAAAACAACCCTGAAGCAAACCAACCCCGCTTCCCTGCTCACTACCGATGCCCCTGATATGTTTTCATATCCCTTATATCTCTACAAACACTCTTAATCTTACAACACTAGAGCTCCATTTGTTTAGGTGGAAAACATTTTCTATGGTGAACGGAAAATAAGCCTATTTAATATGGTGAACGGAAAATAAGCCTATTTAAGTAAAAATTATTTTTCACTAGTTTTTCGAATTAAAGTCTTATCAATGTCCCACACTACCACCGCTATTCTCACCTCCTCCACCACCACCACCACCACCACCATTACCACCACCGCCACCCCACCACCAAGCTGCCACCTCCAGCTTTGTCCCACCACCACCAAACATAAAAAAATGTTTTCGGTTCGGAAAATGTTTTTTTAGAAAATAAAAAAATAAAAAAAATATCGTGGACCATATTTCCATTAGAAAATGTATTCTGACCAAATATAATTATTAAAACCGTACCCACAATAAATTCCTAAGTAGTTCCGAACTATAAAATAAACACTCATCACAAAAAGCAAGACATAAATAAAAGCCTAATTCAATGATATGCAACTCAAGCAGCTAATCAAAATTCAAAATCACAGTGCTCATAACATTGGATCAGTAGACACTACACAAGAAATTGAAACAACTGAGAAAGAACCTAACTAGAATTAGCAAATCAATCACAACTTCCAAACGTTTTAGATTGTGAGAGAGAGAGAGAGAGAGAGAGAAGATTGTGCTTACGCAACTGAAGAAGCAAACTCTGCAACAGAGTGATTCAGAATCCCCTAGAAACCCAACAAAGCCTCTCTGAAGTTGATTTTGTTAATAATAGCACATTTTTAGTCTGCGAAAATCAAAGAACTATGATATGATCATCATCAATCAATGATTTTCCAAATTCCAGTTGTTGACAGACCACATCAATTTTCGTATCCAATTCTAGAAAGAGAAAGAAATGTAGAGAGAGAGAGAGAGAGAGAGAGAGAGAGAGAGCCGGCTTTGAAATGGTGTAGTAGCAGCCGGCTTTGTCTGTAGCTGTGTAATGAATAATTGATCGAGACCATAAACCAAAACGGTGGATCAATTTTTTTATATTGTTGCGTAATTACATCACATTATATATTACATTATGTTATATTATATTATATTATATGGATTTGATTTGAATAATAAGCGATTGATAGATGACAGGAAGGAAATTAACACATATTCGCCCAAACCATATTGGAATTGGCCCGTTGAACACTTTCAGTTTCTTTTTTTTTCTTCTTTTTTTTTTTGGCGGGAATGGCCCTGTTGTTGTCTAAGCCCAACCATTTGGTCAAAACCGCACCTTCTGTTCCTGGCAATTGGATGTGATGTGATGGAATTTTTTAAATGAGTTTTTTTTTTTTCATATTTTGTTTTTTTTATTTTATTTTGTATATACATCAAGATTTGATATATCTATAAAATAAAAATAATTAACTAAAATATATATATATAAAATTCATTAAAAACAAATGAAAATTTGACCAAAATGCATACAAATTTTGTTTGAATTTTTTTATTTATTTTTAGTGATTTTTTTTTAATATTATAGCTTCTTCTTTTTTTCTTTTTAGATGCATTTTGTGTAACGCCCCACTTTTTATTACTCGAAGTCATTACCAAATTCATTAGCTTAATTCAAGTTCAGAGATAACATGCGGAAATAAACTCTTTAGTCCCATAAGTAGAAATAAATAACAATTCTCTCATCCGAATGCAAATTAAATACAACAGGAGCATATTGAATAAAATGCCCAAAAGCTTACATCATTAAAGAATCAAAAGAAGGGTGTAACCCTTTTACACATATGGCATTCCGCCAACACACAAGAGGCCCTGTGGCCAACAAGTAAGAAGATCCAACTCTTGTAACACATCCTGCTTAACACCTGAAAAAGATTCAACAACGTGGGATGAACATATAGTCCAGTAGGGATCTCTACATGATCCTCAACAATAACAATTTATAGATAGTTATGATCATGAATGCTCAATCTCGCACTAGAATAATAATGTGACAGTTTATACAAAAGTATATATAAGTATAAACTTTTCTCAAAACAGTCAATCCATTTAGCACTATAAGCGATTTATCTTTCATTTCATTAACCTTGTATCCAAACTTTCACAACAATAACAATTTCTTAGGAAATCAATTTCTCTAAGCCCATTATCTTTCTCCCATTCTCCATACTTACAACGAATGTTCTCTTTTTCAAAACATACTTTCAAATACTCAATTTTCCTTCACACTTTCCCAAAATCTCACAATGGCATTTTGGTTTGTTTCCAATACATTTATAACTATACATGCATGCCTTCAATATAAGGAAGATAGCAACTCAACATGTATAGAATCAACAAATGAGGCAACTCGGCCCTCCAAAACTGTAACCATCACAATCCATGATATACTCAGATACACTGAGACAAAACAATAAAAACTCTGCTCTACCGGCTATATGCATAGTAAGCCATGGATACAACTCTCACAACAATATGCCATTTTACCAGGCGCTAGCTGGAAGGGTGTGGTACCTTATATTCTCAGCGTAGTCAGTTCTCCAAGCGCTAGCTGGAAGGCAACGGTACCTCTGATTATAAGCACAGGGCATAACACCAATGATCACCATACAACAGAGTATAACCAACAAGTGTAATACATACACATAAACTATCAAGATACATAATCTATGTGTTAAAGTATATGAACACATAAGTATGTGTGAGGTACATCCCCTATCTCCTCCCACACACTGGAGTACATCCCCTTTCTCCTCCCTAACAATTTATACATATATAATGTACAATAGCACTTCACTACATACAATGTTCAATCAACACAGGTGTAATGCATACACGACAATTCAACACAACCATGTCATCCTCCACCGATGACCAAGGACAAAACCTCTAGATGCATGATTTTAGTACATCTATTATGAAGACTCAACTCTCATGAGATCTTAAACCCAACAACAACACTAGGATCATAAGTAAAGGTAAAACCCCAAATGTGTGTATTCAATACTCAAGATACAATATTCAAATTCCCAAATTCATTTTCCATTTTCAAAATCGACTTGTTCCGCCATTTATTCCAAGAACACTTTTCCCATTTCACAAAAATCAATTTCATTCCTTCATAACTTTCCGAATCAATTATGCAAATTAATTCATAACAATAAATTAGGACTTTTCTCCCTCTTTCTCAATATTGGCCAAAAAGGCTCAAATACCAACAACAAACAACAATAATCTCATTTGAGACCCAAAATACATATGTATTGGCCCAAAGTACAAAACCCCTCTTATAATTTATCAAATCAAATATAAATTAAGGTTTTTCCTTCTATCAACAATAGTATACTAATTTACACCCCAATTAGTCCAAATCACCATCAATGATAACAAACTCATTTTCAAACAACCAACCCTAGGTTCACCCCCATGGTTTTCAAACAAACCCAACATGGATATGATTTTCATGCAATACAAAACTACCACATGTCTATCTATAGACGAAGTATAGAAAAAGAACAAGGAAATCCCTACCTCAAATTCGGAGCTCAAATGAAGAAGATGATGAAAACTCGAAGTGCTCTAAATCCCAAGGTTTTCGAATCAAAACAAAGCCCACGCAACCCTCTAACTTTTTTACAAAGAGACGAGGGTGGGAACACCCAAGAACTAGATCAATCCTAAGAGAGAAGTTGTATTTTAGAGAGAGAGGCTCTCAAAATAGGGTTTTGAAAAGTAGAAGAGAGAGAGTGTGTGTAAAAAGTGATTTAAAATATCACAGTCCAGATCTGATATACGTATGACCCACTCGAGCAGAGAATAGGACGCTCGAGCGTCAAACACAAAAACTGAACCAGCTCGAGCGCAAAAAGACCCGCTCGAGCTCCAAGACACAAAAATAAAACACACCCGCTTGAGCGTAAAAGAAGAGCCGCTCGAGCGTAGATTACACTCATCCAGCACTTTTACAGAGTTCAAACACCCGCTCGAGCGTCAAGATACCCGCTCGAGCGCGACCCGCTCGAGCGTAAAAAAACCCGCTCGAGCGTGAAAAACACATCTGCAGAAGTTTTGCAGACGCACAAGCTACTGAAAGTATGCGGACTCCGCTTGAGCGCAAAGGGACCTGCTCGAGTGGATCACCTAAAACCTAGGTAACAACACTTGAGACCAAAGCTCAACCAACCTGTTCCAAACACGCTCAAAACATTTCTAAACTCACTTACTAAGAGTTAAAGGATGGAAATGCAACACAGACAACAACCATCAACCACGGAACCGAGTCCGAAATAAAAAAAAAAAGAAAGGGGAAAACTGGGATCGCTATAACCTCCCCCCTTAAAGAATTTCGTCCCCAAAATTAAGGAAACGCCAAAACACAAGGCCAACTGATAACACAGCACCCAACACCCGAGTACTAGGAAAGAAACTACTCTCGCAACAAACCTCCGGTTAGCTCCCACCAAAGCAAGACTTTCCAAGGAAACACGTTCCAAAGGACAACACTAAGGCATAAAAAGCTTCAACAAAACCAAACCTTTCCCCGAAACAATTTACCAACAACCGACTAGCGCTTCAAGCTAAGTCACTACTCAACAACATAATTCCCAAAAGGGCAACCAAAGCAAACCTTTTGTATAAATGTAAAGGAAATCAAAGATAATCAAATTTTCAACGTTAACATTCCGAATCAAATTTTACATTTTCCAAATGAAACTCAAAAGTTTTATAAACATTTTTCATAAACACAGTGTTATCCAAAAACATCTCTTGTTTATTTGCCAAAAACTACTCGTTTGGAAATTCTCATAATATTCAAATTAAATCAAATCCTCAACATTTCCTTTTGACAATGCCCTTAAAAGGCCAAAACATCCAGGACGAATTTATTGTCCATTCCTTTTCAAGATAACACTAGCAACAACCACCACATAGCATAACATTTCTATAATGATAGTTAATAGAAATAAGCACTTTGCTATCAATACATAAGGCATAAGAAATTCATGATTTTGCAATTTCATTCTACCTTCCTTTACTTAACCAAATTAAAATTATAAACATGGCTCAGAACTTGGCCGAACAATACTCTAAACTGCCATTTTACGGAAATTGCGTCCGCAGGATTCGGCACCCATGTAAAATTATTTTCTTATGGCCATTTTACAGAAATTTCATCTGCGGGATCCGGTACCCATGTATTCAAATACTCATCATATACAATGACTAATTAATACACAAATTTGCTGTATTATTCTAACTGTCAAATTCAATGACACAATCCAGATGATTAGTTTCAGTTTTCCCTAATCAACATACAATGCCTACAATGATCAAGGTTATCCTCAAAGTGGCCAATGCCAACCCAAAACCCGACGCCAACAAGCTGACTAATCAACTCAACAAACCTCCACACTCAGTGAACCACACACTGACGTGCTTCTAAGGGAGTCATCACCCCCACGCCTACATGGCAAACCTGCCCATCTCCTCAACTCAAGACCGACATGGTCGACCTCAATCACACAGTCCCTAACACAAAGGACAATTTTTTTTTTAACCAACACTACTCTCGTTACCCGAGAACATAAACTGTTCTTTCTTTCAAAGAATGCCGCTAGCATCCACTCAAGAAATTCTCCTTCTCCTCACAAACTACACCCAATAACCAATAACACCACGAACTCGTCTTACCCACATGGTCACCAACCGGTAACAAGTCACAATATGGACGCTACCCATATACATAACTGATGGAATCACAACGGATTCAATAACAAACAACAACCCGAAACACCAAACAACACCCCGGTACCATTTCCCGCTAACCCGAGATACAAAACTCACATAACCATGCCAAGACCACACAACTCTCGAAACCCCCAAGCCAAACACATTCACCTACGGATTCCCCGTTCTGAACAAATAACTTACAAACTGAACAAGGCTCACAGGCCACCACATAACCA